AAACTATTCAACACATTACCACAGGTTTTAAAATTTTAGCATCTGAATAACTAGAAAGACTTGACTTAGTGTCTAGAATTAGACATCAAAATCCTACTTTCATGGACAGACAGATAACAAGTCCCCATACTACAAATACAGACCTTACCTGGATATAATTTTGATCCATAAAACTCCAATATAACATTTTAAATCACCATACCAAATGCTTGTAATCTCTAAGCTACATTGGATAAAAAGCTTACAAAACGTAGAGACACTGTAGAAAAACAAGATCATGGTGGACTCAGATGAAGTACATTATCACCTTTTGTCTTGTCTGCTACTAGAGAATCCTTGCAGTGAACCTCCATAGGATGATGAGCTTATATCTTAATACTTATGTTCAACCACAAAAAAGTTATTTTATCCTAGCCCATTGTCCTCTGAGATCACGACTTTGATGTCTTTGGCATCAGTCTCTCCTGCCAATCAAAGGGAAAGAAAAAAGTGTAGGATTTAGAGCTGGAAGGGACCTTAGTCATAACCTATCATACATTCTTATTTTATAGATGAAGAAACTGAATCCTGTGAAGTTGTGATTTGCCCAAGAACACAAGTCTGTGTCAGAATCAGGATTAGAATCCAGGTCTTCTAAATCAATGCTCCTTCCATCATACCATATTTTGCTCCATTCTGCAGGTGAGGAACTGAAATTCCTCAAGAGGAGACAATTACCTGAGATAAAAATCCGGCACAGGACCCCCCCCCACACACCACCACACACACACTGCCTAAATTAAAGTGATCCTAATCCAAGGGAGGGCATGATGCAGGAGCTGATAGGAAGAGGAAAGTAAATCAAGAAGGCAGATCAAGAGATAAGAAGGGACAAATGAAAATGAACAGGCGAAGAGTTATGGAGGCTGGTGAAGGGTGCTGGGGAAAGTAGGGATAATGGGAAAAGATGGGGTGATTAAGATTGATGAAAAGTTCTGGGGATAGGTCAGGTAATGTGGACAGGTGGGGAGATGTGGGGACAGGTGGGACAGGTTTAGAGAATAACTCAGCAGATCAGTGAAATCTGAGTTGAGGGACCAGCTAATGAGGGATTAAATGAGGGCGGAGCGTCTGTGGACCCTCTCTTCCCAGACAGGAGAGAGGTTGTCAGAGCCGAGGTGATGTCAGAGCTGGCGCGGTGATGTCAGAGTCCGGGCGGTGGGGCGGTGATGTCAGGGCTGGTGCTGATGCTGGCGGCGCAGTGCATTGTGGGCAGCTCCCCGCTCCGTCACCGCCGCCGCCGCCGCTGCCGCGGGAGGAAGATCGGGGTCGGGCCGGGCCGGGCCGGGATGGTCGGGGTCGGGAGGCCGCCGCAGCCGCTGCCGCTGCAGCCACCACCACTGCCAGGGGGAGCGGGCTGCGCCAAGCCGCACTGAGCCGCCCCCGCCCCCGCCCCGCCCGGGCCCCGGGGGATGCGCCGCCCGGAGCCGCTGCAGCCGCAGCCGCAGCGGAGACAGAGCAGGTGAGGGCGGGGCGGGGCCGGGGAATCGGGGCCCTGGAGGCTGGATTCTGAGAAGCCTGGGGTTGGGGGCTGGCTGGAGGAGGCCAGGGCAGGAGGAAGGGGGGGAAGGCCCGAGCCAGTGCAAAGGAAAAGAAAGGGGGTAGGGAGGGCCGCTTGGCCTCTCTCCCTTCCCACCCATCGTTGTTGCTGCATCCTTCTGCTCCCAGATCCAGGCTCCCTATGTCCTCCTCCTACTCCCCCGCCCTCCCGTCACCACCCAGAGCAGGGCCAGAGGCAGCAGAGTCTGAGGCCCATCCTTGCCCTCAGCCTTGGCCTCACACACATTTAGTTTACTGCTCTCTAAAGAGTACGACATCTTGCACCTTTCTCTTCATTCTCATCATCTGGCCTGATGACTTTCATATTGTCCACCTGCAAGCCATTCTTATCTGTCTATATAACACCTGTTCCTATTGCTTCTCCTCTGTCTCCATTGCCCCTTTACTGGTCCATATTACCCCTTCACATGTATCCATTATTCCCTCATCTGTTACCATCATTTTCCTCACCTAAATCTACCCTTACTTATCCCTCTTAGTAATCTTTACTTGATCTGATCTTTCTTTACCCATCTCCTGTGTAACCATCATCCCTTCACCTGAGGGGTGAGCATCACCCTCCCCCCAGTTGTTTCCTCAATTCCCCAAGCAGTTCCCAGGGTCCCCTGACCTCTTCCCATAGTCCTTATCTGTCCCAGTCTGCTTCCTTACTTTTCTGTTACCTCCATCTATTCCTATTACCTCTCACCTGTTCCTACCACCCCTTATCTGTTCTAATTATCCTCTTCACTTGCACCAGTCCCCCAACTTGTTCTTAATGCATCACCTGTCCCCACCAGCTTCTTCCCTGACTCCATTATCTCCTCACCTATTTCCACCATTACACCTGTCCCATCACCCTCTCCACTGGTCTCATCACTCACCTGTCCTTTCATACCCATTACTTGGGCCCTTCAATATAGACTCCTTACATAACATACACAGGAATTTTAATGTACACCTACATGAACTTTCATTTACAATTACTTGTACAATCTGTACATACACACATCTGCTATACACATGTACCATCAACATGTACCCACTATTTCAAATCAGCAGGCACATACTTATAAAAACATATATAGGCTCTCCCTGTCCTACCTCATATGCCTCCCTTGATCCAAGTCATGGAAGTCTTGGTCAGGATGGGCCCAAACAAGAGGAAGGAGGTTCAAATCTTTCTTCCTGTATACCTACCTCTATCTCCACCTCTAATAGATAATGTGACATTAAGGAGAGGGGGATACAAGTTGATGGGCTGGGGAAAGAGAGCCACATCAAACAAAATTATTCCCTTCCACTCGGAAGCTATAATCCCTGATTTCCCCTTACAGTTTCTTTCAGCCTTATCTCCTGGCTTTTATTCCTTTTTTCATCCTGTCATTGTTTATACTATCCAAGGGAATCCTCCTTCTCTTAATTACCCTGTCCTATTTCAAGAAAGGCAGCTTGATGGCTCAGTGGATAGAGTGCCAGGCCTGGAGTCAGGAGACCGATCTTTGTGAGTTAAAAATCTGGCCTTAGACATTTACTAGCTGTGGGACCATGGGCAAGTCACTTAAAAACCTGTTTTCCTTGGTTTCCGTTACCTGTAAAAATGATTTGGAGAAGGAAATTGACAACCACTCCAGTATCTTTGTCAAGACAACACCAAATGGGGTCATGAAGAGTTGGACACGATTGAAACAACTCAGCAACAACAACAAAACATTTCAGCACTGGTAGGAGGTAGAAGAGAGGGAGGATGGTTGGGGGCTGTTGGAGAGGGCTCAGCTGATCTATTTAAATAAACAGACTTTCTCTCCCCCAGTTATTCCCAACTCCTTGTGCCTAGGTAGTATAACCCATCCAGGGAAGGAAGTTCTGAATCATTCACCTATAGCAAGAAACTACTGGAAGCCAGTGGAGTTCATACCCTACTCCTTAGCCACGCCTCACCACCCATTAACTTGGCTTCAGAATGTCTAAAATGCTGGTTCCCAGAGAAACCACACATCCTATCCCAAAGTAAAAAGAAAAGCAGTTCCTTAATATCTTCTCAGGCCTCCAACCTGGTTTCTGTAGACGTGCTTTTCCCCTTCCCAGGGCCTCATCAACTTTTTCCTTCTTCTGGATGCCTAGATACTCTACCTTTCTCTCTTCCATCTTTCGTAACAAGTTACTCCTTTCCTACAGGGTCCGTCTGAAGATGGGAGTAGGCAGCTATGTTAGGAAGAGAAAAAGGTAGAACAAAGGGAGGACACTGGCTCTAAATTCCCAAATGACAGGGTTATTACCTTCCATGTCCATATGCCTCCAAGCAGACTCTCGGAGCTGACTCTCTCTTCCTCTCAAAACTCTCTAGAGAAGACCCCTGCCCTTATCTCCCTAAATAACAGGTGCTCAGTTTGCTAAAAAAAAAAAAAACACTCCCCCCTCCAAGTTAGGAAGCTTTTCCTCATGACCACCTTTTGCTTTTTTTTTTTCCCCTCTGAAAGTTTCATTCCTTCTTGTCCTGTCCTGAACAGAGTGGTCAAAGGCTCTCTCCCTCCTCTGTTTGTTTAAATAGATCAGCTCCTCTGTCAGCATAGTTATCTTCCCATTTACTTTTCTTCCTTTCAGTCCTCCCTTACCTTACTAAGTGGCTTCATTTCCCCTCATTTCCTAATTCATATGGGCTCCCTGTTTCTCTCTCACCCTCCTCCAGATGCCTCTTCTCTTTCCCTCTCCATCTGTCCCTCCAGGCAATTGTCTCTACTTCTCAGGGATAACGTGGGCCTATTTCACAAGGGGATGTGCTATTACATCCTTCTTACCCCTGTGACTGTGTTAGTGAGTCTCTCTTTCCAGGTAGAGATTCTCCAAAGTTGGTTTTGAGGTGGTTGTTTTTTTTTTCCAATTGATATATCTGCTTTTACTATATTGTCCTGGCTTTTCTTGGCTAGAGTGATTCCCAAGGTTAGCATGTCTCACCTTGGTTCTCATGTCTTTTCTATACTCACATGTCTAGTTTGCATGAGTCTCCTACATTACTACATCTCACCTTGGCTAATTCTTATGTCTTTCCTCAGTTACACTGCCTCTCTATTAATTTTTATAAGATCTCTTTTACATTAGCACATAGCATCCCTACTCTAGCATGTGTCTCCTTAGTTAAAATGGCCATTCTACAATGAGTAGCATCTCACCTTGGCTAGCATGTTTCTCGTAATTAATGTATCTCTCTTAAATCACCATTGTATCTCTTTGGTTAACCAGCGTGTCTCATCTTGGCTAGCCTATCTTTCTCACACTAGCCTATCTCACTTGCTTATCAAGATTCCTATGGTTAGTATGTTCTCTTCTCATCGAACGCGTCTTTTCTTTGGTTTTGCGGTCTTTCTTCATTAATGTTTTTTTCCATAGATGTCTCGCCTCTTATTGTTGGTATCTCCCTCAGTTCTGCCCTTGGCTAGCATGGCTTCTCCTGTTGGCTCCTCTCTTACCCCAAGACCCATGTCTTCCCGTGCCTGGTATAGTTTTTCTTCCCTCTTCAAAATATTCTCCAGATGGACTTGCTTTGGGTGGGGAAGGGAAGGTGCCCCAGTGAATGGTGCCCCTTTGGGAGGTAGTGGGTGGAAATTTGGACTGGGGAGATGTTGGGCTTTCCTTATCTTCAAGGTAGGTCCTAAACACCACCCTACTTTCATCCCCACAAACTCACAAACCCTCCCCACTTCCCCAGGTAGATGGCCCAAACCAGGCAGGTGCCACCGAAACCCCTCCCTCTGGCTGGCGGATGCAGTGCCTAGCGGCTGCCCTCAGGGAAGAGGCCAACATGAGTGGGGGAGGGGAGCAGGCCGACATCCTGCCGGCCAACTACGTGGTCAAGGAGCGCTGGAAAGTGGTGAGTGACCCGTGAACAGTGGAAGGGCAAGGAGTAGTGAGGAATTCTTGGAGGGAGGTGGGTGGGACGGGGTGGGGGAGAAAGGGTTAAGTGGCTGCTGCTCAACGTGTCCCTGCTACTGAGTGCCAAAGGGGGAGGTGCTCAATACACATTTGCATATTGTTAGCATGCAAATGCATGCTTAATTTTGTATAGCTAGGCCGAGAAATCTTTGTTCCTGCTCTGCCTTCTTTGTCACCCCTTCCTTCCTGTCCTTGCTCCAGGAGCGTTTAGGGCTCCCTTTTTCTGCAATGTCAGGTTGGACTGGCCCATTCTAGAAGTAGTCCTGGTTGGATTTCCATCAATGCTCCAGGTCTGAGCTGCAGAGCTCAAGGGAGGAGGAGTAAGAAGGGAGCTCTTTTTCTCTATCAGATCCTATTAACTCTGTAAGGCACTGATTTAAGGATGATCCTCCCTGTTTTGGCAGAAGTAGGGAAGGCTAAGCAATATCTCTCCTGCACAGTGTGTAGGGGTGAGGACCTTGCAGACGGCACCCTATTCCACCCTACCCACGCTCAGATTCCTTCTTTACCCCCTCCCCCTCTGGCTCCTGCTGCAGGTGCAGCATGCAGAGACTACATTTCCCAGCATGCCTCACTCAGTCAGAACCAGGGTTCCTTGCTGCTTAGCCTTCTGGGAGTTGTAGTCCTAAATTCCTCTTACTGGTTTTGGGCTGAATAAGAGGGAGTGGGTGTCTGAGTAAGGAAGGAGATATCAGGAAGTTCGATATGGTGGTGTTGGTGTTGGTGGGGCTCCCTGCTCGTTAATCTTCTTCACTTCTATACTAGGATTTCAGTGTTCTGATGGCATTATAGAATCAGGATGATTTTTAGGAAATTCTGGGATGAGAGTGAGGTTCCTCCTATTTGGGGAGCTGAGTGACCCTCCTCTTCCTCCCCTCCCCCCCTTGTGTCTCTCAGGGCTGTGTGGGTATGTTTGTTTGGGTGTGTTTGTTTGGGGTAGGTGTCAGGAGGGCCAGAAGACATGTCCAGGGGAGTGGGTGACTAGAAGAGGGAGTTTATTAGGGTGTGTACTGTCTAAAGAGTAGTGTTATGACTGGGACTTTGTAAAGAATCAGAGGGCATTCTATGGGGGAGGGAGGGTATAGGGGATAAGACTGTCTCCTGGGGGCAGGGGCAGCAGGAAGAAAGCCTGGGTCTTGGGGGGGGGGTTGGTTGGTCTCCACGGCAACAGCCACCAGGCCACTAGGGTCTCCGTTGATGGGGAAGAGGAGGAGGGGAAGACAGTGAATCAGGAAGAGAAGGGGCAAAGGTTGCCCTCTTGTCAGAGAAAATGACACCTCATTTCTGACTGCCTGGGCTGGTGTGAAGGGGCACTCTCCTTTGCTCCCTTTCTTCATACAATGGCATCCTGAAGTGGGAGAGCTGATATAACTGAATGATAATTCAATATAGAAGAATGGAAGAGGAGAAAGCAGGAGAATATATTAGTGGGATTTTCTTCTCTTCAAAACCAGCTACTAATGGGCTCTCCAGACCTCTGTAATATAACTGTTTAGTTTCTTGGAAGAGAGAGGTTGGGGTCTGGAAGCATAGCACTTTAACATAGAAAATAAGAAAATATAGAATAGACCAAGAAAGGAAGATGGAGGTGGCTGGGGGGGAGGGACTAAGATAGTCCTGCCTTTGCCTGTCCCAAGTACTCCTCTATACAAAGCTTTATATTGAGTGCTTAGAGGAAAAATACAGAAGGAGGAGAAGATTCGGTATCTGTCATCCGGGAGCTTTCAGGCTTATGGGGAGATACATAAAATGGGTTCTCAAGTCTCCCAGTCTGGGGAAGCAGGGGACACAGTCTCTGGCCTCAGTGAATTCCTAGTATGATGATGATGGGGAAAGATACAGATCCACTTTCTGGTCTAATTTATTGTCTGAATGGGGAAGACAAGATACTCAAGACAGGGAAATAAATCCGAACTCTTCAAAGGGAGAGAGCCGAGTGGGCTAGGAATACTGAAGGGATTGGAGAGACTGGCACCAGGTGTTGTTATTTAGGGAAGGCTACTGCGCAAATAGGGGCTGATGAGTGTTGTTGAGTCAAATTTTGAAGCTGAGAGGACAGGATTTAGTAGGGAGTGAGAAATGAGGAAAGGGTTCTCACTGGGGAGGTTAGGGAATGGCAGTGTGGAAGTGGAGGGTAGCAGGTATTCTCAGGGGAGGGGATAGGTAACCTCTGGAGAAAAAAAGAAAGAGAAAATGCCCAAAGAACTTGGTGGGGGATGGGGATGAGGTTGTTCTGATTGTCCAAGTTATCATCTTCTATCCCACTACCTTGAGGGAGGCTGGTACCCAGCCTGTTCAGTATATAAGAACTTCTCCTGTCTTTAAAGATGCTTGGATGTGCACTTCCTTTCTTGACTCTTCTGTCATAGGTACCTCTGAGTCAGAAATTCATCCTGGTGTTTGTCTCATTACTTCAGGGGCACTTTCCCCCTTTTCTCCCTTTCTAGCAACTCTGTCCCTGTTTCCTTCCATGCATTCCACAGGGCCCCTGCTCCTTTCCTTCTATAGTCTTCCTCCATATTTCTGTCTCTTTCTTTCTGTCTTCCTCTCTTCTTCTATCTCTGTCTTTCTTCTCTCTCTACCTCTGTCTGTCTCTGTCTTTCTGTCTCTCCCAGTGCATATCTGTCTTTGACACCCCCACCACCACCTTGGGAAACTGCTGGGTTTTGGTTCACCTGTCTGTGGACTCCCAGATCTTTATCTCCTGCCCCCTTCTTTCCAGTAAATATTTTTAACCAATCAGAAAGTATTTATTTAGCACCTACTGTGTACAAGACACCATGCTAAACTTCTGGTTTGGGGTGCTGGGGGTGGTACAAAGATATATAAGGTAGGGACAGCTAAGTGGCAAAGTAGAGAACACTGGCCCTGGAGTTCAAATGTGGCCTCAGACACTTACTAGCTGTGTGACCCTGGGTAAGTCATTTAACCCTGATTGCCTAAAAAAAAAAATGTGTAATTCCCCCTAAGGAGGGGGATTACAATCTGAATGGGGAAATCAGACATATACATGCACAGACACATACAAATAACAATGCAAGTCAGTATATATCATATGTGTGAGTATATATAGCACATAGTATATATAGCATGAGAGGTACCTCTGAATCAGGAAGTTCTGGGTTCAAGTTCTGCCTCCTGCCACTTACTGGATGTGCAACCCTCAGCAGGTCACTTAACCTCTTACTGCCCCTGGAAACTCTCTTAAGACTGTAAGTTGGAGAGCAGGTGCCAATTTCCAATTATAGAGAGTTTTCTCACTAGGAATTTTCTATATGATCCTCAGCCTCTTTCCTGGAATTTCCTATAAATATGAAATCACAGGTCCTGAAATAATGAACAAAGGAATGAATGAATGAATGAAATATACATGTAAAGCAGCCTGGAATAGTGGGAAAGACCTTAGGTTTGGAGTCAGAGGAGCTGGATTCCCATCACAGATTTGCCACTTACTAGCTGTATGACCTCAGACAAGTCTTTCTGGGCCTCTGCTCCCTCAACTATAAAATGAGGGTGTAGACTCATATAGTCTCATAAGGACCCTTGTGTTCTGTGTCCTAACAAAGTCTATATTCTAAGGCTCCCACCCACTCTGATATTCTGTGATTACAGTGCTAAGTGTCAAAAGGACAGAGTGGATGAGCAGCGCTTTAGAAGTGAAGCAGAAAGACAATTTACAATCTGGATGACTCCCTGGACTGATTAGGTCTGAGGAGCTCCATCTCCTCTTCCCCATTTTCTCCATCATCATCCTCTGAGGCTATGAGCCTTACAGGCTTTGAAGCCAATTTCAACTCTACTCTTTCTTCTCCCCTCCTCATTTCTTCCCACCAATTATTTCTCCATATTTTATTTTCTCCTTTTTCCCAATAGTCACATCTGTAGTCTAGCTTCTTTGCTCTTAGATTACCGAAATAACCTTCTAGCTGGTCTCCCTGTTTCTAATCACTCCAATCTGCCTTACACATATGATCTTCCCCAACCAAACCCCACTCTCTTCACTCCCTTGCCCTTCAGTGTACAGCTGTCCCATCAAAGTAAAACCCTCAGCTGGAACCTCAAGGTCCCTCACTCTTCTATTTCTTATTATTTCTCTTCCCCTTCTTTTCCCTTTTTGCCCCACTGTCTAGGACTCTCTACTCCAGCTGACCAAAAATCTCCTCCCATGTTATCTTCTCAGCCTTATATGCAAACTCTCCTTCCCTGAATGGCTGAGAATAATCCTTTGGCAGAGATTGTCCCAGAAGCCTTAGGCCTCATTGATCCGCAGCCTGTTTCCTGGCCCTCCTCCTCCTCTCAGGACTGTTCCAGAAAACCTTGTCTTTAGCCTCTTTTTTCATTTTGCACTTCTTACAAAAACTTCCCTGATTTCTGAGCTCAAGGTACTAACTGACCTTCCTAATAGTGAACCTACTTGGTTCTCTGAATTCAAAGAATTGTCACAGCTCAATTCTAATTACCATTTCCCTTCTGCAGTTGTCACTGTCTCAAGGTGCCCTTTTCTCGGTGCATACTTATCTGTGTACATAGTCTGCATCCCATCCAGTAAAATGTAAATTCTTGGAGGCCGGAAACAGTTTTGTTTTTTCTTTGTATCGTCAGCCCTTAGCAAGCCCAGAGGAGGTGCTTAAAAATACTCATTGAAGTTCTTAGTATCTGCTCCCCTCTTGGAGGCTGCTGGGTGGCTCAGTGAAGAGAGCACTAGGCCTGGAGTCAGGAAGACCTGAGTTCAAATCCTGCCTCAGACTGTGTCACTGTGTGACCTTGGGCAAGTCCCTTAACCTTGGTTGCCTCCTCTTCCCTCCAAATAATAGTAAAAAAAAGGAATTTATCTAGTCCCAGAGTTGGTGGCCCTGTGCTAACTTACCTGTACCTCCAAGCCTAGCCTTTCCATACTGATCCCCTGTACCCAGGACCAAAGCTGCCACTGGTAATTTTTGTACTTAGAGCCATGTGTGGGTGGAAGGTCCTGGGTCACAGTGGCTGAGGATGAATAAGTGAACTTTAGGAAACTAGAGAATTCCCATACATGGCTGAAATTGATTGATGCTGGGAAATTAGGAGGAACAGGAAGCCAGGAGGCAAGAGGGTACTCCTGGAAGGGAGAAAACATACTCTTTGATGGTATTGCCAAGACTTCCTAAATTTTGTTGTCCTGAAATTTAAGTACAAAGACCAACTTGCTCCATTCTGGTTACAGTGCTGACTGGGTAGGTTTGACAGCAAGCTCTGTTCCCTACTTTCTTATCCTCCAAGAGAAGAGTGACATCTTCCTTTAGAATACACCCAAGTCGAATCTGAGCTTTATGTACCTAAGCTTTCTAATTTTTTAAAATTTTTTTTTCCTTTCTTTCTTTCTTTTTTTTTGGTTGGGCAATGGAGGTTAAAATACTTGCCCAGGGTCACACAGCTAGTGAGTGTTGTATGTCTGAGGCTGTATTTGAACTCAGGTCCTCCTGAATCCAAGGCCAGTGCTCTATCCACTGCACCACCTAGCTGCCCCATACCTAAGCTTTCTAGACTGAGATCATTGGTCTTCCAGAGGTGGGCCTCGAGGCCACATGTGGGCTTCTAGGTCCTCAGGTACAGCCTTTTGATTGAGTCTAAGATTTATAGAACAAAGCCTTTTATTAAAGGGACTTGTTCTGTGAAGTTTGGATTCAGTCAAAGGGCCACACTTGAGGACCTAGAGGGCCACATGTGGCCTTGAGGCTGCAGGTTCCCCACCCCTGGTCTAGGCTTATGATGTTTTAACCATAGTCCCATGAAATTATTTAGTCAAGTAGGTTACATTTAATTTTTCTCCAACAAGGGACGCACCAGGACATACAAATAGGTAAAACAGGAGCAGTTCCTATCATCTTATGCTCAGAATTCAGTCCAATTTGAAGGTCACCCCCAAAGTTCACAAGACATCTTTTTCTTTAATCCCTTCCCTACCTCTACTTCCCCAAACTCTAAAAAGTAATCATCTTTTCCAGGAAGTCTGTCTCGATGAAGCCCACAGGCTGTGCTCAGCTCCATCTTTGCAGCAGCTTGCTCTCAGAACTGCCACTTATTGCTGTGTCCATCTGTAATGCTCTAGTGTCTAATGTGATGCTCTATTGTCCCATGCTGGCCTGAAAGTCCTTCCTTTATTTTCTGTTATGGGGAAAGGGGAATAGAAAGAACACTGGATTTCAAGTCAGGAGATTAGGTTTCATATGCTAATTATGTTACTTTCTCCTTATATAACTCACAGTTGGGCAAGTCATCTCATTTCTCCAGGCCTCAGTTGCCTCTTCTGTTAAAAAAAAATGTAGGTCAGCATATATGATCTGTAAGGTGCATTCTCAACTATAAATCCTGGAATTATATGAATGTTGGGAATATGACATAGACCCAAATGGTCCCCAGAGATCCAACTTGAAGATCTGGCTTGTCTTCTTGGGGAATCCAAGTTGGGAAGAGGATATTTCCCAACTTACTTCCTCTTTGGGCCTCAGTTTCCTCATCTTTAAAATGAGGGGGTTAGATTCCCTAACTTCCAACATAGGGCCCTTCCTGCTCTAAATCCTACAGTTTTGGCTAGGAAGTACTAAGGACTGACAGAGAAATGAGAAATGACATAGGAAGGTCAGGATGACATGAATCCTAGATTGTGCCAGGTAGAAGGGACCTTAAAAATTATATAGTCCAACTTCCTCATCTTAGAGATGGAGACTGGGACCCAAAGTAAGAAAGTAACTAACCTAAGTTCATTAATGGCAAAACTAGACTAGAATTCAGGTCTTGACTCCTTTCTACTGTATTATAGCTGTAAAAGGAATGGGATTCAGTCAGCTCCCTAGAACTGCCTACACTCCCAGTGGAGGCCAGGCCAAGGAACTGGGGCCACTGCCACTCCCTCCACCATGCTGAAAGTTAGGCAGGCAGTACAGACTCTCTATTACTATTACTAATAATAGCTAACATTTATATAGTACCTACTATAAGCAAGGCACCATGCTAAGCACTACAATTATTATCTCATTTGATCCTCACAACTGCCCTGGGAGTTAGATGTTATTATTATCTTCACTTTACAGATAAAGAAACTGAGGCAAACAAGTTAAACGATTTGCCCAGGGTCCCATAGCTAGGAAGTGTCTGAGGCTGGATTTGAACTCAGGTCTTCCTAACTCTGGCCTAGTGCTCTATCTGCCATACCACCTAGCTGCTGTGTTACAGCTACCCATGTGCTCTGTTGCTGTCTGATTTTTTTCTACCTCCTCAATGATCACTCTGTTCTTAGCCTCTTACAATCTGACATCTTTCCTCAGCACTCTACTGAAATTGTTCTGTCCATGGTCATCAACGACCTCCCAATATAATAAATGGCCACTTTTCTGTCCCCATTCTCCTTGACCTCTCTGTAGCATCTGCTTCCTTGCCTACTGATTAAGTCTCTCTTCTCCTTTGGCTTCAGAAGTCAGGAAAGAAGAGACTCTTTTTCCTGAGAAATATTCTTCTTGGTTCTCTCGAAGCAGACCTCCTCTGTCTCCTCTCCTGGTTTTTCATCCTCTTAAATATGGGTGTTCCTTAAGAGTTTGTCCTCAGACCTCTTCACTCTCTCTACCTCTCCCTTCCTTGGCAAACTCATCTTCTCCCAAAGCTCCAATTACCACCTCTTTGCAGATGATTCCCAAATCTGTATCAACAGCCCTGACTTCCCTTCTGAGTTCCAGACCCACATCTTCAACAACCCCACAGGACATCAAGTTTGGCCGGCATCTCACAGTAGAAGAAAAAGAATACTGGCTCTGGAGTCAGAGAACCTGGGTTCAAATTCCACCTTTGACCCTTGTGACCTCGGGCGAGTTACTTTACCTTCTGGAATCAGAAGACTGGTTCAAATTCCACCTCTGACCCTTGTGACCTTGGGTGAGTTACTCAACCTTCTGGAGTCAGAAGACTGGGTTCAAATTCCACCTTTGACCCTTGTGACCTTGGGTGAATTACTCAACCTTCTGGAGTCAGAAGACTGGGTTCAAATTCCGCCTTTGACCATTGTGACCTTGGGTGAGTTATTCAACCTTCTGGAGTCAGAAGACTGTTCAAATCCAATTTTGGACTTTACTACCCTTATTGACTTGGATGAGTTGCTTAACTATCATAGGAGGTCTCTGTTTCCTCACCTGTATAATGAAGGGGTTGGACTACGTGGTCTCTGAGGTTCCTTCCAGCTCTTATGATCTTAGGAGCGTGTGTTTTTCCTGAAACTTATTCCTCTTTTTGATATCATTATTTCTGCCAAGAGCATAAATCATTCTTCCTTGTCTCTGAGGTACAAAACCTTGGGGTTGCCTATAACTCATTTCTTCTCCTTCATCTCTCACGTCCAGTTGGTTACCAAATCCTGTTGATTCTATCTTTTCAACATCTCTCACATGTATCTGCTCCTCTCTGTTTCCGCTGCCACCACCTTAGTACAGGTCCCTTACACCATCTGCTTGAACCATTGCAATACCCTTCTAACAGATTTTCTTAACTCTACTCTCCACCCCTTCCAGTTCATCTTTATACTGCTCTCAGGGTGATCTTCCTTCTGTATAATAAATATGATCATATCCCTCCTCTGATCAAAATTTTCAATGGTTCCCTACCAGATCCCAAGTAAAGTCCAGGCTCTTATATGGTATTCAAGACCTTCTGGTTTTATTTCATGTAACTATCCTCCATGCACTTTACACTCTAACCAAATTGGACTGCTCTTTGCCTTTTGATCACACTCCATACTATCCCCATCACCGTGTCTCTACTCACACAGAACTCTATGCCTAGACTGTCTTCTGTCTCCTTTATCTGTTGTATTCCATCCTCTGAAGCCCCACTCAAATGCCTCCTCCCTTCCCCTTCATTTCCCTCTTGGATCTTACATTATACTTTTTGGCGCATAACTGTAGTGGTGTCACATATTTATCATGTAACATTGTATATCATAATTATGTCATCCCACAACTAGACTGTAAGTTTCATGAAGGCAGGAGGGATGTGTCTTATCTGAACTTTGTATCTCCTTGGGCAGTCTCATACAGGAGGCCCATAATAAATGTTTAATGAATGAATGGAAGGATTGTTACCTTGTGTTGAGCATTTGTCTAGGAGTCATAGGGGCAGCCAGCACTTTTCAGTAAGCAGAGAGGTTAATGACAGTTCCTTGCTGAGCCCCACCTCCATTGCCCCATGACATCACACAGGATGCCACCAATCTGTGGGGGAGACCTCCCTCTTCTCCTAGAAGCTCTTTACTATCCCTTATGCATTCTGAGAAGGTGCCTGCTTTCTTGAGTGGAGGTTGTCTAAGTCTGGGTACCTTGCAGTCCTGCTGGAGGAGGAAAAAATTCAGAACCAGCCAGGCAGTCAAAAAGGCTTCTCTCCCTGGATTGTGCTCTGTATGGAAACATTAAGACCACATTCCCTTTTCTCAAACTCTAAAATCTGATCTATTTTGTATGTTGTGTGTATATGGGGACTGAGCCCTCTCTCTGTGCCATGTAAGTCTTAAATTGGGCACTGAGTAGAGGAAATTATGGGCAGGTGAAGGAGGGAGGGGTTGGCATGATCTTTGCCCTTAGGGAGCTCTCATTTTGATAGAAGAGACATAGTCCCTGCATTTAGATAACTCTCAATTTAAGGGAGAGGGGAGGGAGGTATAATCCTTATGCCCAGGTAGTCCTTGCCTTCTGGAAGCTCCCAGTTTGAAAAGCCAAAAATAGCCCTTCCTCAGGGAGCTACTCAGCTTACGGGGGAGACAAAACACTCCCAGCAGAAACAATGTGGATGGTAGTTCACAGAGGGAAAAGGCAGTAATGAGGAATCCGGGGGGAGCTGCCCTGGAACTGGGCTAAGCTCTCTATATCCCCTTCTGTAGCTAAAGAAGATCGGGGGCGGGGGCTTTGGGGAGATCTACGAGGCCATGGACCTGTTGACCCGGGAGAACGTGGCCCTGAAAGTCGAGTCTGCCCAGCAGCCCAAGCAGGTCCTCAAGATGGAAGTGGCGGTACTGAAGAAACTGCAAGGTACTCCTTCAGGCTCCCACTCCTAGGCCTCTCAATACTTCTCGCTCTGGGTTCTGTCTAACCCTGAGGAAATGACCATGATGAGCCCTGAATACCAGAGGGCAAAGATGGCTCCCCACACCATTAGGCTTAGCCAGGCAGAGGGATGAGGTACAACCAAAGAAGGCAGTCATGGATTCAGATCCTAGGGTATTGGTGGAGGGATGGGGAGAGGGGTGATGGTGGGTAGATGATGCAGGGGGAGGTGACAGGGTAAGTGGGACCTGGGAAAGGGTGCCGGGGGGGGACAAAAAGGGAGGATGAGTCTGAGGGCATGACAGGCTTGTGATTCTCTGTGGTCCACAGGGAAGGACCATGTTTGCCGGTTTATTGGCTGTGGCAGGAATGAGAAGTTCAATTATGTGGTAATGCAACTCCAGGTGAGACCCCTGAGGACAACACCTCTTTGCCCTTCTGTCTTTTCTTCCTGAGGAGCCAGGACTCTGGATGCTACTGAAGCATGGGGGGGGGGGCCTGTGGTCAGAGTAGGGAGGCCAGTGCCATCTTGGCTGCTGGGTTAGTGGGTGATGGGACTCTGGGGAGGCACCATGCCCGCTGTAGCCTTGGGGATGGTTCCAAGGGTCATGATGTGGCCAACACACTGGGGGCGATGTTCTAGGGCCGCAACCTGGCAGACCTGCGCCGCAGCCAGCCCCGGGGCACCTTCACTCTGAGCACCACGTTGAGACTAGGCAAGCAGATCCTGGAGTCCATTGAGGCCATTCATTCTGTGGGATTCCTTCACCGGGACATCAAGCCTGTGAGAGCTCACTACCCACCTCTCCTTTCTCCTTCTCCTAATCCTCTTTCCCATTCCTTTCTCCCTCTACCATATGTGAGAAAATCAAATCCAAGACAAAAAAAGAAACTAGCCAGTCCAAATACTACATCAGGGTTTTCTTTCTTCTTTCTCTCTTACAGGGGTTTTTAATGTGAGGTCTTTGAATTTTTATTTTTATTTTTAAAATAATTTGATAATTATATTTTGTTATAATTGGTTTCTTATACGTTTTATTTTATACTTTTAAAAACAATGCTGAGAAGGGATTCATAAGGTTTTGTGAGACTGCCAAAGGGATCCATAACTTGAAAAAAAGGTTAAGAGTTTCTGGTCTATACAAAATCATCACTAGATAGCTATACTAGAGCTCTTTCTACCAGAGAGAGTCTATTTTATTATAATGGGAAGCATGTTGGACTTGGGATCAGGAGAAACCTGGGCTCTACCCCAGCTCTGACACTTATTAGCTATGGAAATGTGGGCATTTCAGTTAACCTCTCTGAGCCTCAGTTTTCCAATTTGTAAAATAGGGTTAACATACTAGAATAACTGTCTCAAGGGGTTTTATGAGAATTAAATCAAATAAGCCATGGAAAGTGTTTTGGAAACCTTAAAGTGATATATAAATGTCAGCTATTATCTTTAGTTGTCAACATCTCAAAACTCTTGGGGAACAAATCTTTGCACATGTTCTTTGATTGTCCAACTCTTAGCCTACCCAGAGACAGATTAGGTGGTTGTTTCTTTGTTTGTTTGTTTTAAGAGAAAAGGAAATGAAGTTTAAAAAGATGACGAATATATCTTAGAATTATCAATGTACAGAGTACAAGAATCTGTCTTGAGATAGCTTCTTATGCTGTTCTTATGGATTAAAAAAATGAAGAGTTGTGGGCTAGACAGTAGTAGAGGACGAATGCAGAACTGGTTGGATGTCCAAACCCAAAGAGTAGTCATTAATGGTTTGATGTCCCCTTTGAGGAAGTTGTCAATTATGCATTGCAGGGATCTGTGCTCATCTCTGGGCTGTCTGACGTTTTCATCAGTGACTTGGACAAAGGTGTAGATGATATGTTTGTCTTATTTGCAGATGGCACAAAGTTTGGAGGGAGTGATGAGCAAGTCAGGATTCAGAAAGATGTTGGTACACTAGAACTCTAGCCTGAAGAAAACCAGATGAAATTTAATAGGGATAAATATGAAGTCTTATTCTTGGGTTCAAAAAGTCACTTCACAAGTGCAAGATGGCAGAATCATGGCTAGGCCACAGGTCCTCTGAAAAATACTCAGGATGGGGAGATTTAGTAGACTGCAAGATCAATATGAGTCAGCAGAATAAGACAGCAGCCTAAAGTAATTTAGGCCTCATCATAAGAGGCAGAGGATCCAACAGTAAGGAGGTGATAGATAGTGTCCTGGTCATACCACCCCTGAAATTTTAGGTACCACAGCTAAGGGAGGATATTGACAAACTGAGGAGTGAAGGGTAACCAGGATGGTGAAGGATCATGTGTTGGGGAATGGTCAGTTGGAGGGATATTTCTTCTGGAGAAGAGAAATCTCAAGGGGAACATGATGGCTGTTGTCTAGGATTTTAAGGGCGGTCATAGGCAAGAGGGATTGGCCATGTTCTGCGTGGCACCAGAAGGCAGAAACTGAGTAGAAGTTGCAAAGAGGCAGATTTAGGCTAAAGGTTTGTTTTTGTTATTGATTGTCTTTTGTCCTCAAAGAGGACCGGTGATACCACGAGGGTGATGTCTTGACCTGCAAGTGAATTGGATTTAAGTGAGGCAGAGCTGCACAAAGTCATCAGCCTTATTCCCTCCTCCAGAATCATTGAAGTCCAGTAGCAAGACAAGAGTTAAGGCGACTGACATTAGCCTAAGATGCAGTGGGTGATCTTGACCTTTCTAAATTAAAGTCTCTCCCAGGTCTCAGTTTATCTGAGGCAACGCCCATTCAATGATTAAAGGCTAGGTAAGAAATGAGACAAAAGATGGCCTAGTTTACTATCACAAAAATATCAGTCTGGGAGGCGAAGACCCTCAGATCTTCTGGAACAACTTCCTAACCATCTGAGCTGCCCTATAGCAGAATGGGCTTTCTGGATAGGTAGTGAGTTTCTTGTCTCTAGAAGGATTCAAGCACACTTGAATTTTTGCTTGTCAAGGATGTTGTAGAGGGAACTTGTCCAGGTGGAGATTAGACTGAGTAGCCACTGAGGTCCCTTCCAGCACAAGGATTCTGTGATTTTGATTTGCATCCAAGTGCAATCAGAGATCATGCCAGAAAAGCAAACAGATCAAGCATGGCTACATATGCCCCTTACCTTGCCAAGTCAGGCAGCCTCTCTTACCTAGAGACCATAACTCCCATGAGGTGGACTTCTCCACAGGTGTTTCAGGTGAGGAAATGGGACCCCAGGGAAGAAAGAAGACTGGCTGGCCTCCAGGTCCATCACTGCTGCCAAGTGTAAAGAATGATACCTGGGCTTTGGTCCCATCTGCTTGGTCTTCCTTCCTGCCAGAGGCTGCATTTCTTCAGTCCACCCCACCCCTATAACTGTCTGTCCCTCTCTTCAGTTTCTGAATTCCTTTCTCTTCCCTAACTATCTCTCTTCTCCTTAAGGGCAAGGAATGTCTTTTGCCTCTTTTTGTATCCCCAGAATTTAGTAGGTGCATAGTAGGTGCTTAATAGTTGTTTATTGATTGATATTTTAAAAAGTAATTGATTGAGATTTCAAAAAGTAATTACTGGACACAATTCCATGCCCCGCCCTGTGGAGGCTCTGTGAGGAATGTAAGATGTAGTCCCTGTCCTCAAGGAGCTAACAGTCTAATAGAAGGGGACAAGGCACAAACAAACACATGTCCATCATGCGACAGCGCAAGGAAGGTGGTAAAGTGTGGTATGGTGTGATGTGATGGGCAGAACACTAGATTGGGTATTGGAAGACCTAGATTCTAGACCCAATTCTGTAATAATGGTAACTGACATTTCTATAATAATAGATAACATTTATCCTGAGCTTATTGCATGCTTTACAATTATTATCCCCATTTAATCCTCACAACAATCCTGGAAGGTAGGTGCTATTTATTATTCCCATTTTACAGATAAGGAAACCGAGGCAAACAGAGGTCAAGTGATATGCCCAGGGACATACAGCTAGTAAGGATCTGAGGCCAAATTTGAACTCAGGTCTTCATGACTCTAGGCCTGGCGCTCTATCCGCTGCCTCACTGTGCTAACCTCAGGTGAAAGAGGAAGTGTGACTTAGTGAATAGGGAAGCAGTTTCAAAGAAAAGAAGAGCTAGGTTCAAGTCTTACCTCTAATACATACCCCTTTTCTCTACCCCTCTCACTTTTTTTTTTAAACCTCCCAGGGCTCTCTTTCCTTTCTGCCAGAGTGCCCCTTCATTCCTCTAGTCTTCCATCCCTGGATGTGCCTGTGAATGGGGCTGGGGGAGACTGGAAAATGGCTTGGCCTTTTCTCCTTCTCATATCCTCTTCCTCAGTACCCTTGACTCTGGTGCCAACCCTGTCCTTCACCTCCTTTCCTTTTCTCCCCTCCCTTCTTCCCTCCAAAGGGCACAACCTCTTCCTCCTCACCTGAGCATGCCTCTGTCCTTTTCTCTCTTCCCTACCCTGAAAGGAGTATCCTTCCCTCTATCTTTCAGGGATGTAATTTGGGAATCAGCAAAGTGTGAGGTTCTCTTGCTAAGCTGGGAGAGACTGAGGGGCATGGTAGAGGGCAAGACCTGTCCATTGTATTTTCGTAGGATCCCAGATCTTAGAGCTGGAGCTCCAGAAACCATCTGGTTCGACACCTTGGTATTATTATCCCCCATTTTAGAGATTAGACAGCTGAGGCTCAAGGAGGTCAAGGAGGCTTGAGACTTGTCCAAGATGTTTAATGGGGAAAGGAGGGGGCCAAGAACCAGGACCAGGTCCAGGCTCCCTGCCTCCTAGTGCAATGCTCTTCATTACACCCAGAGATGTGCTACTAAATGTTTAACAAGTAGCTTGCTAGGAAAAAAGAAGTATGCGTTATTAATATTTTCTCCATCTCTTTTTTTAAGTCTAGACAACTAACAAAACAACAAAATCAAGCCAATTTATGGTATTGGCTGATTTATGAGGTGTAAATGTTCACAGTGAACATTTAACAATCGGCTCTGGCTCCAGTAAACCTCTGATTTACACCCTGCAGCCTTGCATCCTGGGTTGAGAAGGGAGATGGGGGGAGGGGTACACCTATGGGAGTCAGAGGGTTAGAGGTCTCCCTTGACACTTTACTCTTACCCCAGCAGCTAGGTCATTCAGAGCAGCCTTTAGAGTGGAATAGGAGGAGCCTGATTACAAGGCAAGGAGTGGGGGTACTGGGGAGAGAGGGGCAATACGGAGTTTTCCTCCTCTGCTATCCCCCCACTCCACCCTACCTGTCTGGCCCAGAGAAACACAGGAGTCATGGGTCCCCTCCCTGTCCTCCCCACAGTCAAATTTTGCCATGGGCCGCCTGCCCTCCACCTACAGGAAGTGCTACATGCTGGACTTTGGGCTGGCACGACAATATACCAACACCACGGGGGAGGTCCGACCTGTGAGTACCACCTCCCTTCAATCTGGATTCACTTCCATATTAGGAACTTCCACACCCCAATGACTCCCTGAAGAATGCTCATGGGATACCCCACCCCAGACATATATATCTGGGGTACTCCTCCTCTGACACAAAGAGTGAGTGAATACTAGTATCCTCCCCTTTTGAAATCTGCCTGTTGCTTTCCAATGGACAGGGCCCTCAGCATCCTACTCTTTCACAATGGAATTGTATCCCTTGTCAGGGATGGGAGGGAAGGTACTGGGCAGGGGCAAGGGGTGAGTTGGGTCAAGTGTCGGTGTATTTTAGGTCAAAGGACAAAGTGCTTGGATTTGGGAATTGAAGCATCTGGGTTTGAGATGAGTAGGATTGTGGGATTGGAGTCTCCAGGGTCAGAGGTTAAATACCTCTGAGCTCTGGGTCAAGTTTTAGGGTGTCAAGACACAGTTTGGGTTATGGAGTGTCTCTATGCCTGATGGGTAGGGCTAGGGTTTGGCATGTTTCAGTCAAAGTATAGAGGGTGTCAGGTAGATAAGATAATAATAATAATAATTAATATGGTAATTACATAAATAAAAATTAAGATAATAATATAAATGTAATTAATATATTAATGTATAGTGACTACTAAGTGCCAGGCACTGTTAAGCATTTTATAAATGTGATCTCATCTGATCTGGTGACTGATGGTCTCTCTCCCTGCAGCCTCGGAATGTAGCTGGGTTTCGAGGGACAGTTCGATATGCTTCAGTCAATGCCCATAAAAACCGGGTAAGCAGGTGATTCTTGGACCTGGTAGAGGACAGAGGACAGCTGAGGGTAGCAGTGTAGGCTGTTGCTGAGTAAGGAGAGAGGGGTTCCTAGAGAGGAGAACAGAGCAAGGGGTAAGATCAACAGCTTTTAGAGATGAAGCCTTTCAGGCTCTCCCCACCACCCTCATGACTTCCTTTGCCTCCCTTCCCCTGTGATTCTGGTATTCTGTCCCCACCTTTCTGCAGCTCAAGACAAATTAGGCAGAGAACGGGCACAGGAAATTTGATTTTCATTTGGAACATAGGGGTTCCCCTGTCCCTTTCAGGCCCCTAGGCCCCTAGACAGCCCTGACTGCAGCCTCCTGCCATCCAGGAGGAAGAGAGGCTCCTCTTATCCCTTGGGGATGGAAAGCTGGAGGGGGGAAATTCAGGCTACTCTGGATCCCATTCTGTCTCCTTCAGGAGATGGGCCGCCATGATGACCTGTGGTCTCTCTTCTACATGCTGGTGGAATTCGCTGTAGGGCAGCTTCCCTGGCGCAAGATCAAGGACAAGGTGAGAAGCCTGGGGAGGAAGGATTGGTTGAGATGAGTCTGGGGGAGACGAGGACAAGGCATGAAAACCTGGGAAGGAGTAGAGGAATGGATAGAGAATAGAAAACAAGAGGAGCTTGAGTAGACTGGAGGACTTCTGGGGAAGTAGTGTACATTGGAGGTGGCAGAGAAGATGCTTGGGGACAGACTTAGGGCAGTCTCACTGTTTTGGGAGGAGCCTCTACTTTTCCCTTCCCCACATACCTCCAGGAGCAGGTGGGGATGATCAAGGAGAAATATGAACACCGGATGCTGCTGAAACACATGCCGTCAGAGTTCCATCTCTTCCTGGATCACATTGCCAACCTCGACTATTTCACTAAGCCTGATTACCAGGTCAGTATTTGTCTCCATCCCACTGCTCCAAAATGCTCGTTTTAACCAGGGCTATAGGAAGGAAGGGATCAGGGACAGGGAGAGAGTAGGGTCATGTGTAAGCGTATCCTGGACCCCACTCTGCCTGCTGACCTCCCTCTGGCCATTATCTTGTCTATGCATTTGGGGATCCCATCCTGAGATACTGCTTCTGACCATCTCTCCTCCAGACAGTCTAAAGGATTGCTAAAACACTGAGTACAACTCTACCTATTGCTAAACTTCGTATCATCCTGGCATCCATCCATCTGCTTGGCATTATCATGGAACCCTCTGTTAGGCACTCAGTGCTCCACTCTCTCTGCTCCACAATCACTCAGAGCATGAGGGAGCTCAGATCATGGAGGAGGGTCTGTATTGGAAACTGTGGGGAAATATATGGGCCCTGCCCCCAAGGAGCTCATAGTCTCCTCAGAGTGTTTCCTTAAAGGCAGAAGGATAATAGAAAAGGAAAGGATGTAGCTCCCACTGCTTGGGTGTCCATAGCTACTTGGCATCAAGAGAGGTGGCATATAGTAGACAGAACACTAGAAGGAAGACCCGAGTTCAAATCTCACCTCAGATTCTTAGTAGCTATGTGATCCTGGATAAGTCACTTCCCTTCTCTAGGCCCCAGTTTCCTTATTCGTAAAATAAGAGCCATGTCTAAGGTCCCTTCCATCTCTAAATTTATAATTCCTTTAGGGATAGGACAGAGGCATTGGGAAGTCTCACAATCAGGGTGCCTGTCTTCAGCACCGACTCTATTTTGCCACTCAGGTTATCAAAGCTATTGACTTGAAGTGCTAATTTGCACATCAATTATATAGTATTTATTTAAAATTAAAATTCTTCTTGTTTTTTAGTGTTCTACCCATTCCCTGCAGATCCTTCTCTACTGCAGAAATTTAAAACTCTGGGGTCCATGAACTTTTATTAATTAATTTTTTGGGGGTGAGGCAATTGGGGTTAAGTGACTTGCCTAGGGTCACACAGCTACTGTCAAGTATCTGAGGCTGGATTTGAACTCAGGTCCTCCTGACTCCAAAGCTGGTACTCTGGACCTGCCCCGTCCATGAACTTCTAAAAAAATTTTGATAATACTTCCATTTTATTGGTTTCCTTGATATTGCCAAATGTTTGTTGCATTTAAAAACATGCTTCAGAGAAGGGATCCTTAGGCTCCACCAGACTGCCAGTGGGGGCCCATGATGCACAAAAAGGTCACAAATCCCTGCTTTGATGCTTGTCTCGCCTGTCTCCCCAAGTTCCCACATCGTGCCTTTCTCCCTCCCCCACAGTTGATCATGTCAGTGTTTGAGAACAGCATGAAGGAACGGGGCATCACTGAGAATGAGGCCTTCGACTGGGAAAAGGCAGGGACTGACGTCCTCCTTTCTACCAGCACGTCCACCCCACCACAGCAGAACACTCGACAGACGGCAGCAATGTTTGGGTGAGTCAAGGGAAGCTAGCCAGAGTTGCTGTAGTGCCTTTCCTAGCACCAGTGACTCTTGACCTAAAGAGGTCATTCCATCCAGTCTCTGGTGCCAGGGCAAGATGTCTCTGCTATCCCAGCAAGAGAGATTGCCTCTGTCTTTGTCTCTCTCTCTCTTTCTCTGTCGCTAATATAATCTGTTTTTCTTTCTGTCTATTCATTTACTTCTGTAGTAATTTTTTATTATTTATCCATTAATTCTAGTAATTCATCTATTTGTACATTTATACATTTATTTTTAAATTTAGGGTTTTTTTCCAGTTAATAAAAATCAACCTTTTCTCTCCTCTTCCCTCCTTCATTGAAAAAGAATGAAAAAACAAAACCTTCGTAACAAACATGCATAGCCAAGCAAAATAAATTCCTGCATTATCTATGTCCAAAAAATATATGTCTCAATTTCTTAATCTGCCTCCTTGAGACCATCACAAGGCATTGTTCTTAGCCTTCATGAACTCATGGGATGGGGGTGAGGGATCAGAGAAGAGGATTCCCTAGCCCTTCACTCAGGCCACTACACTAATGTCTCCCACTTCAGGAAGTTCTAGCTCATGTCTTAATACCAATCTCTGAAGAGGAACTTGGAACCCTAGGCAGGAAACAGGCTTGGGTACATTCAAATCCTAGAATTTTTGGGTCTGCCTGCCTTCTACAACTACATTTCTACTCTACCTGACACATACTAGGCATTTAATATCCCTAAATTGCTCCTTATGGTTGAATAATCACAGCTCATGTTTCCATAGCACTTTCAAATTTGCGATAACATGGATCATCTCATTTAAACCTTACAACCACCCTGTGGGACTGGTGCTTTTATTATCTCCATTTTACATGTGAGGAAAGTAAGGTTCAGAGAAAGTGACTTGTCCAGAGTCACAAAGCTAGTAAGTTGTGGAGGCTTCTTTGTCTTCTTGTCTATAACTCTAATATTCTGTAATTTAATACACCATGCTGAAACCCTTTAGCCTGGTCCAGGCTTCTTGGAGATCATTACTCTTCCTTTTGGACATACAAAGGCCAGAGAGTATGTATAACTAGTCAGTGGCAGAGTTAGGAATTGAATTACATCTTGTTCACTCCAAGTCCCAGTGTTCTATTCTTTTCTTTTCTTTTCTTTTCTTTTCTTTTCTTTTCTTTTCTTTTCTTTTCTTTTCTTTTCTTTTCTTTTCTTTTCTTTTCTTTTCTTTTCTTCCTTCCTTCCTTCCTTCCTTCCTTCCTTCCTTCCTTCCTTCCTTCCTTCCTTCCTTCCTTCCTTTCCTTCCTTCCTTCCTTCCTTCCTTTCCTTCCTTCCTTCCTTCCTTCCTTCCTTCCTTCCTTCCTTCCTTCCTTCCTTCCTTCTCTTTCTTTCTTTCTTTCTTTCTTCTTTCTTTTTTCTTTCTTTCTTTCTTTCTTTCTTTCTTTCTTTCTTTCTTTCTTTCTTTCTTTCTGGAGGCAAGTGACTTGCCTAGGGTCACACAGCTAGTAAGTGTCTGAGGTCACATTTGAACTCAGATCCTTCTTCCTCCAGGGCTAGTGTTCTTTCTATTACACTTTGCTGGGCCATGCCTAGGTCTCCACAGTGCTTTGGTGACCCTGGATTCTCCCAACCTAAGCACATCCAGTCAGTCAACAAGCTTTTATTAAGTGCCACGCACTGTGCTAAGTATGGAGGACACACAAAAAAAAGCAAAAATAAAACCAAGCCAAACCAGTCCCTGACCTTCAGGAGCTCACAGTCCGATAGGACAGACAACCTACAAATACCTATGCATAAACAAGATATAGATAGGCTGTATTAGAGATGATCTCAAAGGGATTAAGATTAAGTGGGACTGGGAAAAACTTCCTGCAGGAGGTGGACCTTTACCTCTGGGATTTGAAGGAAACCAGGGAGGCTGGAAGTAGAGATAGGGAGGGAGAGGGTACCAGGCATGGAGGATAGCTGGCTAAAGGAAATGCCTGGAGTCAGATGGAGTGTCCTGTTTCAGGGATAGCCAGGAGGCTGGTGTCACTGGATCACAGCCAAGGTGGAACTGATTGTGGTGTACTGGAACAGTAGGAAGGGGCCAGGTTATGAAGGAGTTTAAAAGGCAAAGAGAGGATTTTATATTTGATCCTGGAGGGTTGAGGTTTCAAAAGGCATTATTAGGATTTGAAGACATAGACAGCTCTCTAAGCTTTTCACCAGGTCACCTCTAATTTGAGGGTTAATTAAATTCATCAAATTTAAGGTTAAGCACCTACTCTATGAAAGGCATCATACTAAGGGTGGGGGATACATAGATGAAAAAATGCCAGTCCCTGCCCTCAAGGAGCTTATAATCCAAAAGAAAAAAAGGGGTAGGGTATGATATCTACACAAATAAGCATAAGGCACGATAGGGACAAAAAGGAGCCATCTAAAACACTCTAGGAAAGCATATGGAGAGAGAGGAGGTTAAGATAACACAACAGCACTTGCAGATGACAGGACTGCGGAGTTACCCTCCTACTGAGCTAGCATCTGGCTTAGCCAACACATGGCCCTGCCATCTTGCTTAGGTGAACCAACTGTAGTACATTTCCTCCCCAGCTGTGCATAAAGGTAACTTCGGCTTCACATTTCAAAGCTGCCCATAAGTCATGGATCATAGAATTTGAAGTCAGAAACTATCTAGTCTATCCCCCTATTTAAGCATATCTCCATCCAGTAAAGAAACCTTCCTAGGTTTACAATATTACAGTTGAGTTGTTTATGTAGGGCTTTCCACACATAATTCTCAGCCACTAGAAGGGAAGGACCATTTCTTTACTTCATTTAGAATTAGAACCCTGGTGGGACAGGAGCAAAAGATGGGTTAATAACGCGCCATTGATTTGCTCACAGATCCCATCAGTGAATGGGATCCCTGAACTTATATAGATGTGCATACATATCTCCTAAGCTTTTCCTTCTACCCCACCAGCAAATGCTTCCTTTTTATTAGTCTTCTCTCCTAGAGACTAAAAAAAAAAATCAGGCAAGGGATCAAATGGAAATTAGGCAGTTTAATGAAATTGTTAAATTTGTTAAATGTATTTTCATTAATGGCTAACACAAGGCAAGCCTGAAAAAAATAAGGAGGTTAGACTAAATAATTTCTGAGGTCCTTTACAACTCTAGATCCTAGGAAGTAGTGAAAAGGGTCTCCCACTGGGCATGGTGACCTTTAATCTCTGCTGCTGGGGATGCTGAAGCTGATGGATCGCTTAAGCTTGGATGTTCTGAGCTGAAGTAGGGCAAAGTGATTGAGTGTCCTCACAAAGTCCAGCACCAGTATGGTAAGCTCCCAGGGGCTGAGGGCTACCAGGATGCCTAAGAAGGGGTGAAGTGGCTCAGGTCAGAAACTGGGGAAAGCTTTAGTGCTCATTGGCAGTGGGATTGAGCCTGTGAATGGACTACATACACTTCCAACCTAGGCAAGATAAGAAGACTGAGTCATAAAAGAAAGAGAGAGGAAGAAAAGAAAGAGAGAGAGAGAAAGGAAGGAAGAGGGAATAGAGGGAAGAAAGGGAGGGATAGAGGGAAGGAAGGAAAGGAAAGGCAAGGAGGTAGAAGGAAGGAAGGGAAAGGAAGGAAAGAAAAGGAAGGGAGGAAGGAAGAAAGAGGAAGGGAGGGAGGGAAAGAAGAAAGGAAGGAAAAAAGAGGAAAGGAAGGAAAGAAAAGGAAGGGAAGAAGGAAGGAAGGAAGAAGGAAAGAAAGAGGCAAAGGGTACCTCCTGATACGGATTTGGGTTTCTTATACAGCAGTCTGTTGACCCACTGAGCACCCCAGTTCTTCACTCCCACTTTGGTTCTTTACTGAGTTCACTTTTCTTTTCACTGCTCCATCCAGTAGTTGAGTTCTCTAGTGAATAGGACCCTACACTTGCATAGTTCTGCACAAATATCCCCCAAGCATTTCCCTCTAAGCATCCCCAAGGACCCTTCCTTTCCACACTCCACTACCTCCCCCCAACCCCTAGCAAATGCTTTCTTCCTATTAGTCATAACAGGAATTACTAAATTTTTTTATGATTTGGAGCAGGTCACTTTCCCACTCGACTTCAGTTTGTCCATCTGTAAAATAAGAGACCTGGGAACCTCACTCTTGACTTCGGTTTGCCCATCTGTAAAATAAGAGACCTGGGGACCTCACTCTTGACTTCGGTTTGCCCATCTGTAAAATAAGAGATCTGGGAACCTTTGGGGCTAAGGATGAGGGGCCTGTGGTGGGGGGAATCACTGACCGTTTTGTGTCTGTTTCTTCTTTCTGTCTCTCCAACCATAGGGTGGTGAATGTGACCCCCGTGCCTGGGGACCTGCTAAGGGAGAACACAGAGGACGTTTTGCAGGGTGAACATCTGAGTGACCAGGAAAACGCACCTCCTCTTCTGCCTGGGCGGCCCCTGGAGGGGCTGGGCCCCATCCCTCACCCCACTTCCCATCCTGGAGTCCCTGAAGCTGAGGTCTGGGAGGAGACTGACGTCAACCGCAACAAGCTCAGGATTAACATCAGCAAAGTAACCACCGTGGGGGACAGCCCAGGGGCAGATCTGTTTCCCCATGCCTCTATTCCTCTGCCTTCCTACCTCCCACCTCTCTATTTCCCCATCACTCAGTCTCCCCATCCCCCTGTGCTCTTGTCCCCATCTCTCTGTCCTCTAACTCATAATCCTCCTATTATTATGCACCATTCCACATCTCTTCCTCCCCTTTCCCTCAGTTGCCCTTTCTCCCTATCCTCCTATTTCCCATCTTCCAGGAAAGAGGGCCTCTCAATCCTTTCATCTCAACATTCCTCCCATTTCCCTTGCACTGGAGAAGAACCATCTCATCTCCTGGAGTATCCCCACCTCCTTGAGAAGGGGGAACTCTCCAGGGGACAAAGTCTCTTCCCAACCTCCTACCCCAACCCAAAGCACTCCTTTATCCCCTCCCATCAAGCTCTGGCCACTGTAGCCTACAGACCCCCCACTCTCCCTTGCAGACACAGTGTGTGGTGGAGGAGGATCAGAGCCGTGGAGTGGGGGTCCCCAGCTCCCCAGTACGTGCACCCCCAGACTCCCCAACCACCCCTGTTCGCTCCCTGCGCTATCGAAGGGTCAACAGCCCTGAGTCTGAGCGACTATCCACAGCTGATGGGCGGGCTGAGCTACATGAGAGGAGGTGGGTCTGGAGGCTGGGGGAGGGATCTGGGTTGACTGGGTTCAAAGACTCAGTCCCCTCCACATTTTCCTTCAGCTCTTTCTCATTTAGCTCTTATCTGGGTTTGGGATAGATCATACAAGGGAAGGGGTGTTGGTTTTTACATAGTGGCAACCATACATAAATCCTGAAGGATGCTGAGGGAGACAAGAAGGGATCAGAGACAGAGGATAGGGTAGTCCAGGGGTTAGACTGGAACTTTAGAATGGGGCGGGTTAAATATGAATGAATAAATGGGTGAACAAATGAAGGAATAAATGAATGAAATGAAAGAGCATTTACCTTATGCTAAGCGTTGGAGATCCATATGCTAGTAAGCATGGTAAGAGGTGGGACTAGGCATTAAAAAGGAATGTGGGTCCAAAGAAATTTCTGTTCCTTTTAAAAGACTTCTTAAAGAAAGAACAGCCAAGGAAAATCTTTGGGCTAGTGGACAAAGGGAAGATGGAGGTCTTATTGTATGGAGAAAATATATTAGGCTCCCTTAGGATACAGAGTGGAGGAGGAGAAGTATCTGTGAAGCCCCAGAGTTGGGGAGTCCTGATGCCAAAGTAGGCTAGAGATAAAGATGATGGAGATCCTGGAGAATGTTGGTGGAATAAAGAGGGTCTTAGATTACATGAAGCACCAGGCTAGGGGTAAGGGCTTGGAGGGAAATCTAATGATGTGTTTCCTTCTGTGAACTTGTCCTTCAGCATGACCTGTCCAAAGAAGGTGCATTTGAGATCCTCCAGAGGGCAGGGATGGGGAGATGTGGGTGGCAGCTGATCCAAGCCTCTCTTGGGTGCCATGGCTGTGGGGTAGTTGGGGCTACTAGGGTAGAACACCATGGCCAGCTAACTTCTACTGCAATCCCATCCCCTGAGGAGAACCCAAGAACAGTATCTTGCCTCCTTTGCAGAGGATGTAAAGAAACAATTCATTAACCCCTATAATTGAGAAACTCCTGTGTGCAGAGTCTGTATTGTGGTAGGAACAGGAAAAAAGGAGGAAATGTGGTCCCAGCAGGTGAAGAGTTTACAATCTCTTGCAGAATCTCAGAGATAGGAAAGGGACTTAAAGAATATCTAGTCTAGCCCCCTCATTTCAAAGGTGAGGAAACTGAGGCACAGAGAGGAGTGAGTCAGTTGATCATTCACACGGTGAACACATTTCACCAAACACCTTTGTCTCTCTCTGCGTCTCTTTTTCTCTCTCATATTCACATAAAAAATTAATTCCCTTCCAAACATAAAGGATGAGGAGAATAGATTTTGAGGAGGTACTGACTGAAGTTCAATAAGGCTGAGTGGAGACAGTGTGCTGTTGGTGGAAAGCACTTGATTGATCTGGAGACCTAAGTTCCAGTCTTGGCTCTGCTGCTAATTAGCTTTGCATTCATCATTTCCTCCTCTAGGATCCTCAGTTTCTTCATAAGTAAAATGAGAGAATTTAACTAGAAGACCTCTCTGGTCCCTTTTAGCTTCATGAGACTAATCAGAGAAGGCTTTTTTGGAGTAGGTGGCTTTTAAGCTGAGTTTGAGAAGACCAAGGGTTGGAGGAGAGATCATTTTGAGCTTTGGACAGACAGAGGCCAGTAGTGAGGCCAGAAGGGGCAGGGAGAGAACATGCAGATTAATTCTGTTTTGAATGGAGGCTCTAATAGATGATATGGGTGAGGTTTGGGGGAGCTTTGGAGAGGAGACTTGAAGGGTAGGCAGAACAATCTTGATTGCCTATGAGGCACGTGGGAACAAGGCCATGTTCAGACCCAGTCCTAAAATGTAGACACCCCGTGAGTTTTCATCTTCAGCATCCTTTTCCTTCTAACTCCCACCCCCTCCCATTCTGTAACTCATTTCCACCAGGGTGGAGTGCCCTCATTTCTCTCCTTCCCCCTATCAAAGTCTGCTTTCAGGTAATGAATGTGAATGAATGAAAAAGCATTTATTAAGTGCTTATGATGTGCTAAGGTAAGGGTTTAATATCATTTATATATTCATGTCTATTTACATTTTCATGTAAATTCAAGTTACTGACAATATTTGAAGCCTTATAAACCAATAAAATCAATAGCTATTTATTGAGCCCACTATTGGGAGGCAGTATGGTATAATGGGAAAGGTACTGGATTTTGGTTCAGGTCCTACCCCCTGTCCCCTGATCCTCTCCCTCACTATGTGTGGTTTAATCTGTTGCGGCTTCCGCTTTTTCCCCTCTAAGATGAAGTTGGCCCAAATGACTTTTAAGGTTCCACTGAGTCTGGAATACCAAGGTGTATAAGACTCCAGGAGTTAGATTGAGTTGCAGAAATGCGTCATAAACAGAGGAAGGGTTTAACAGCAAAAAGTTTAAAGAACAATTCAACCAAAAGAGTGTAGATTTCGCAGAGCATCAGCATTTGTTAATACCAAAAGAACCATGCAGCAATAGCTGTCGGGCTGTAACGGAGAGATCACTCACATTCTGTGAGGTTTATGGGAAGTGTTTGGATCAGTAGAGGTGGGGTGGATATTCCAGGCTGTCCAAAAGCGTAGAGCCAAGTCCTAGAGATGGGAGAGAATATAAGACATCAGAATTTCAGGATTGAGAGCTGAAAGGGGCCTTAGAGATCATCTAGCCCAATCCTCTTCATTTTACAAAAGAGGAAACTGAGGCCCAGACTTCCCCAAAGTCACAAAGGTAGTAAACAGCAGAACAAGGATTTGAACCCATATTTTCTGACACCAAATCCAGCCCTCTTTCCAAGATATGTTATTCTACCATGAGCAGGCTAGTCTGGTCTGAGCAAAAGAATTGTATAGGGTAGTAATGAGAGATAAACCTGGAAAGGTAAATTGGGGTCAGATTATGGTGAAGTCTCAAAGTCTTGGCTAAGGAGTCTGAACTTTATCCTGTAGGTAGGAGGGAGCCAGTAAAATCTTTTGAGTTTGGGGGAGGAGGGGAAAGGAAAAAAATTAATTCCACCTAGAATGGATTAGAGATGGGAAGTAGAGACTGGTGGGCTGGGGTAGGGGAGTAGGTTGGAGATTTCTTCCAGTTGGTGGTATTCAAGCAAAGATTGGATGACCGTTTATTTGGTGTATTGTAGTAGGGTTTCTTTTTCATGTATGAGTTGGACTCTTTCAAGCTCTGAAATTCTGATTCCAGATCAGACCCAAATTTGTGATTCCGAATAGAGAGGCAAGGAGATTAGTTAGGAGTTCAGGCATGAACACCTGCAATAGAGTGGCAGCATTTTTCATGTCTAGGGTGCATTTCTCTGGCTCCTGAAATCACAACAGGTGGGTGCAAGCAGTTGGCCAACTAGGAGCCTGACACTAATGGCAAGCTAAGCTGGGCCGGGATGGGGGGTGGGTCTAGAGCTGGGCAGGGCAGGGCAGGGGGCCAGGCTGAGCCCCCAGGGCTGTGTGGCTTTGCAGGTCTCGGATGGACCTTCCGGGTTCCCCTTCCCGCCAGGCGTGCTCGTCCCAGCCTGCCCAGATGCTGTCGGTGGACACGGGCCAGGCGGACCGGCAAGCCAGTGGGCGCATGGACGTGTCTGCCTCGGTGGAGCAGGAGGCCCTGAGCAACGCCTTCCGCTCTGTGCCACTGGCCGAGGAGGAGGACTTTGACAGCAAAGAATGGGTCATCATCGACAAAGAAACGGAGCTCAAGGACTTCCATCCGGGCGCCGAGCCCAGCACGTCGGGCACGACGGACGAGGAACCGGAGGAACTGCGGCCCCTGCCCGACGAGGGCGATGAACGCAGGCGGCCGGGGGCCGGAGCTGAGTCCGTCTCAGTGCGGCCCCGAGGGCGCAGCATACAGACTGTGGCCGAGGAAGACCTCCGGCAGCAGCATCAGTTGCAGGGCCCGTCAGATCCCGCCCTGCCTCCCACCCCAGGCAGCCCTTCACACTCCTCCCTGCACTCTGGACCCCGACCGCGGAGGAGGGAGTCGGACCCCATTGGCCCGCAGAGACAGGTAAGATCACCGCTCCCCATCCCAGCCCCGGGCACCTCCTCAGCTTTCCTCGAGGTCCTAGGGATCTCCACTACTGGGAGAGGATTGAGAGGCAGGAGTCTAGGAGCCTGGCGGCAGCAACTAGACTCAGCCTGTTGACTTGCCTCCCGACTTTGGTGCCTGATACCCAGCGAGGCAGCACACAATGGTGAAAAGAGCTTCTGGGGCTGGGGAGTCAGCACACCTGGGTTCTAATCCCAGCTCTGCCGCTAACTGGCTGTGTGACTTTGGGCCAAGCACTACCCCTCTCTCGTTTGTAAAACTTGAGATCATCTTGCTTGCCCTGCCTTTTCTTGGGTCGTTTGACACCAAATTGGGAGTAGTGAATGTCCAAGTACTTTGAAAAGATGAAAGGTGAGATACACATTCAGCAAATGAATATGAGTTATTGATGGGTGTCTGGTATTATGGGGATACCAAGAAATGTTAAGACATAGTATAGCATCTGCCCTCAAGGAACTTCAAGTCTAGATTGGAGAGAGAGGGCAGACTCTGACCACATCTTGTTTTCTGCTGTTATTTAACTTTTTCAAAGGAATAAAATGCCCAGTGAGTGATACAGGCAGTGAGTGCTTCAAGGGTTCAGAATGAGGGGTATGTAAATCACCATAGGGTAGGGCCACCAGTAGGAACAAAAAGCTGGTCTTTGAAGGATGGGTGGATCTGTACAGGAGAAGAGGGAGAGAACTAGTATGGAAACAGGAATAGACAAAGGTTTTTCTTTGGAGAGAAAAGAGCAAACAGATAGTATGGTTTGGAGCAGAAGCTAGCAAAGGGAGATAGGTAGGTAGGGGACAGATTATGGGAAGGCCTTTAATGCCAGGCCAAAGAGATTGGAATTTCTCCTGTGAATAGAAAGGGGTGATATTTATTATTATGCTCAGAGGGAACACAGGTGTCAGGGTGACCAGGCATGCAGCCAGCAAGCTGAGCTCCTTTCTTCTCTGGTACCCACATGATCAGCTGCTCTCCCCAGGATCTTCCTACTCACTGTGACCTGGGGGGTGCCACTGTGTCAAGCTGCGTGGCCAGTTCCTCTTCTGTGCCTCTCAGGCAAAGAAGGTTCTAATATAAAGGGCTGGGCAAAAGAGAGACATCTATTCAAGAGATGATAGGCTCCTTAGGAGGTGCCAGAGGAATGCCAGGAGCTGCCAGGCAGGGAGCCAGGCTGTATGCATCAGGCTTGACTCCCAGACTCTGGGGGGAAAAGGGTCCTGTGAGGTTACTGTCCTAGTCTATGGTTCACTGACTTGATCTCATCTTGCCCTACCCTTAGGCAGTAGAGGGGTCCCACCTAGGGGGCAGGTCTCCCAGAAAAGTTAAGGCATGTTATAGAGATAGGGAAGGAAGAAAAGGAAGGCAAGAAGGAAAGAGGAAAGGAAGAAAGAAAGGAGAGTAGGAGGAAAAGGGGGAGGGAAGGAGGGAAAGAAGGAACAAAGGAAGGGAGGGAGGGAGGAAAGAAGAAAAGAAGGAGAGAAGGAAGAAAGAAGAATAGGGAAGGAGGGAAAGAAGAAATAAAGGAAGGAGGGGAGGGAAAGAAGGAAGGGATGAAAGGAATAAAGGAAGGAGAGAGGAAAGAAGAAAGGAAGGAGGAAATGGAAGGAAGGAAGGAAGAAAGGAGAGTAGGAGGGAAGGAGGGAGGGAAGGAGGAAAAGAAATGAAGGAAAGAAGGTAGGGAGGAAAGGAAGAAAGAAGGAAGGAAGGTGGATGGAGGGAGGGAGGAAAGAAGGAAGGAAGGGCAGGAAAAAAAAGGAAGGAGGGAAGGAAGGAAAGTAGGAAGAAGGAAAGAAGGATTGGAGAGAAGGAAGGAGGGAAGAAGCATTTATTAAGTACCTATTATGTACCAGGCACTATACCAAGTGCTTTACAAATATTATCTTATTTGATGCATGTGGGATAGCATTCCTTATAAATTTAGCCCCTGCAAATGGCTGCCCTGACTCACTAGACTGTAGGCTTGGGCACACTAACTTTCAGAGGCCCTGTCCCTCTGGGAGCATGGCAAAGCAAAATAACAAAGCTGGGGATTTGTGTCCCATTCCTCTTCTGCCTCTTTTTCTGCCCCCATTCTGGTCTCTTTCCTTGGTGTCCTTTCCTTCCTCTACACATTCCTACTACCCAGCCTCTGGCACTAAGCTCTTTGTGACTCCCAAGGTAGTATATTCAGTGTTAATCTGTGCCAATGAGAGCTAGTGAAAGATATCAACCCCCTGTCTCCAGACCGACTAGTCCTGATGTGTTCATTCTACCTTTGGTCTTTTGAAGATCAAGACCCCATCTCTGCTTTCTAGATCAGAGAGAGGCAGTGTGGTATATTGAAAGATCCCAGGTGTTTGGGAATCAGTGCCATCCATACACATCCAAAGTGATTTAGCCTGGTCTGTAAAATGAGGACATTAGACTAGATGATCTCTAAGGGTCTCTGTGGCACTCTAACATTCCATGAATCCTATTTTACTTTAACTCCTATGATGAAAATTTCAGGCTGTTTAGAAGTGGGTGATATCTGAGGTTGACAGATTGACCTGTGCATGCACACCGACACATATACACGTATTAGTTCATGCAGGCTACAGAGAGTAGATTTGGGGTACAGATGAAGTCTTGTGACGTCTCTCAAGTCAAACTGTATTAGATGTTATCCTGGGCCAGAGGAGAGGGGACTCAGTTTTCTCACAGTCATCTCTGCCTTAGACTAAGCACTCTAAATTCAAGGAACACAGACTTGGTGGGGGGGGAGTGTTCTGGGGAGGGAGGATACACCAAGTCTGAGAATGACAGCCTCACAATGACTGACATTAATAGTGATGGATTTGGGCAAGGGATTGAACACATTGATTATTAACTCTTTCTCAGGTCCGTAAGTACTTTTGAGGGGAGGAGGGTAGGAGTTACATGAAGGCTTAGACAGGGGATATTGAGGGAGAGGGCATTTACTTTCTCTCTTTCTGTCAGTCTATATAGTTAGAGAAGGGGGAATCTGTGCGAATGAAAGGGGAAGACTTACGCTGCTGAGAAGGGTGGTCCAGGTATCTGAAAGTAGGGTGGGATAACTAGAAAAAATACGGGATGGGGTACTGAAGGCAACAGTTAGACCCAGGGCTGGCTTATAAAAATGAGGGTAGGATGGGAGTGGTAAATGAGGAAGAAGCTGGGATCTTCAGGAGAAAGGCTAGAACTATTTCCTAGACACATCTGAAGACCTCTACTGAGAAAGTGGCAGGGCCATTGGAGTTTCTGGGAGTACATCCCCCTCCCCCTTCCCCACCCCACAGCTCTCCTTCCCTGTTTCCCCACCTCCTGTCTTCCAGCTGCTGTCCTAACTGCTTGACCACCCTTGGGGTTTTATTTCTATTTTCGAGAGCCAACTGTTTTCTTGTAGTTCCTCTGACTCACGGTACTGGGCCCTCCCCTCCCCCACCCTCATGCTGAGCTTGGAGCCTCAGGCCACGGCCATCTGTCTGTCTCTTTTCAGGAGTGGGGAGAAGGGGAGATGTAGTGGTATGGTTTTGCGCTTATTTCTGTGTGTGTAAGACTCTGGGAGCAAAGGGATATAAGAACGTATTGTTTTTCTGTGTGTGGTTGTGTTTACATGCACAAGTGGATGGGTGAGTGATACTCCTATGTCATGTGACAGAATGTGACAGCATCCATGATTATGTATGTGTATCCATGTGCTACTTGGTGTAGGAGGGCCTCAGTTTTCCCTTCTATAACATGAAGGTTTTGGATTAGATCAGGAGTTCTTAATCTGGGGTACATGGATAGATTTCAGGAATTCCATGAACTTGGACAAGAACAATTAAATCTTTATTATCACTAACATCTAACTGAAATTTAGTATTGCCTTCAATTACCAACATGAGCAACAAACCACAGTCATATTAAGCTTCATCATACTGCCAAAGGCATCCATTATACAAAAAAGGTTAAGAACCCTTGAACTAGAAGATCTTCTAAGGCCCCTTCCAGCCCAGGTATTTGGGGGTTCTTTGTGTGTACGTCATTGTTTGGATCATGTGACAATGGTCTACATGAACTAATATGCGAACATGTGTCCATGGACACGCACAGGTCGATCCATCAACAGGCACTTACTAAGCACCTAGTCTACGCCTCGTACTCTGCTACGTATGAGGGTTCAAAGACAAAAATGAAACAGCCCTGCCCTCAACTTACATTTTATCAGAGAAATAGATTCAGATCTAATAAATGAACATGTGCAGATTTCTTGTGTAGACAAATCATGTACGAAGAAAAGAGAAGATTATTTCAGTAGGGGAGGAAGCACAACAGATGGGGAGGAGGGAAGATCAGGAAGGGTCTCAAGGAAGAGGTCATGTTTGAGCTTAGCTTTGAAGGAGGGAGTGTGCCTGTATCTGTATGTGTCATAGGTACAACAGGCATGTGAAAATGTATATTTGTGTGTGTCTGTGTCCACTGCATATGGATACATCAGAAAATGGTCTGTGGGTGGGATCCATGTGTGGGCCAGTATACAGGGCAGATGCGACAGTACCTGTGTAAATTTATACATATCAACCCGTATTGTCAGGTTATGTCCTTAAACCATTCAGTCTGGGCCCATGGGTGTATTGTGCAATTACGTATAACCTTATCTGTATGTAGAATCATGAACTACTTGACTAACAGAACCATTTGAGATGAGTGTGTGAAGGATAGTACAAGGTCAGCCCGTGGGGTGGCCTCTGTAGGGAAGCAGGGTCAATGGAGATGTTTTCTTTTTTTTTTTCTGACATATGTTCATTTGTTTCCATTCTGTACCACCCTAGTCCATCATCAATTTTTTTTTATAATTAATTTATTTTGTTTTATCAGCAATCACTTCCATCAGCTTTTGAGTTTTAAATTTCTCTCCCCCTCCCTCCCCAAGACAGCATGCAATCTGATATAAGGCTATACACATGCATTCCTATTAAGCATATTTGTAGATGTTTTCT